CTTGTTTTATGTCTCTGTTCAAAAGTTCAAGAACCAAAATCAACAGCAGTGGTAAAGGTGGGCATCCTTGACATGTCCCTTTTTGTATTCCACAGTTTTTTTTTTATCAATTTCCCATTAACTATTATTTGTGCTGTTTGTATATATATATCGATTTCACCCCTTTTCTTATGGCTTCCTAATTTTTCTTTAAAGATTACTTATCAGACATTCTTTGATTTTTCATGAGCTTTCCTAATTAGTCTCAGTCTTGCTAGCTGGATAAAGTCCAACAATGAATGGGATCCAGTGGAAGAAGTTATTTTGTTAGAGATCATGAATGGATTGGTGGGAATTAGAAAAGTGAGTATAGAAAAAGTGATTGGGTCATTTGGAGACCCAAGAATGAATGAGAGCAATGATTGTTTGGTGAGTGTCTATTTAGTAGCTTTGTTTGTTTTAGATATGTGATTTATGTCTATTTATGTGTCCATATAACAAATAAATGAATTGAAAATCATGACTGCTTTGACAGTGATGCAAGATTGAGAGAATTAGAACTGCAGGGAGAAAAAACTATGTGAGAATGACTCCGTTTCTAAGACCCCCATTGTTCATGTTGGCCAGGCTGCTTCATGCTGGCTATTATGCTTGGACATCTTTTTCTTTTATTTCTTATTTGTTTCAGGTATGTGTGTGTGGAAAAAAACTGAATATCCTCTATTTTTTTCCTTGTATGAAAATAAGAGAGTAGTAGGCCTTCAGATCTTAGGTCTTATTTAATTATCTACTGTGGTTAGTGCAGTGATGGCAACAGAATGATGTTACAGGACTCTGGATCACTCAGTGACAGAGAAGGAGATCTACAGTATTACCCCTTGACAACCCTCTTTGAGATTACAGTGGTACCTCAGGTTACGAACTTAATTCGTTCCATGACTCTGGTCACAGCCCGAATTGGTCGCAACCCGAAGCAAATTTCCCCAGAAGGTTCAATGTAATTACCGTTAATCTGTTCTGGTGTGGGGGACAGGGAGGCGGCTATTGCTTGGAGGGAGA